GGCCTGTATTCAGCTCTCTGGAGGCTCCAGGGCTCGCCCTGGTGATGGGAAGAGAGCATTTGCTTGGCTGCCCTTAGCATTGACTCCTTTTAGCTAATATTTTGCCAGACTCCTGTTTTTTAAAATCATCGTTCAGAGTCTACCTTAAGTACATTGAATTCTATTTGCCTGCCCTTAGTTTTGCCTAGTTTATTTCATGATTTTAAAGTCTTGTACATTTTTGTAATCCTTAAACTAATAAAATCAAAAGCTGAGGTGTGGGACAGTTAAATGCCAAAGGTGTATATTATGAAAGTGTTAATATTTCATATTTTGGGATAGTACCTTATGATTAAAAATTAGGTAAACTTTGGTTGAGCTGGTATTTGGAGGAATATTTTAAATGTTTAAGCAAAGTTACGACCTTCTGAAATAAAGTTGCCACTGGTATGTAGAGAGGGAAGATTGTTTCATACATTTGGATCGGTTAGGCAGTAACGTTCTTTGAGGTCCTGTTTCTGTTTTGCTTTTTTCTTTTTTTCAATTTTTGTATTGTGGTAAAATATGCATAACAAAACTTAACATTTTAACCATTTTTTAATTCTACGACTCAGTGGTATCAGTTACATTTACTGTGTTGTGCACCCATCTCCAGAACTTTTTAATCATTCCAAACTGAAACTCTGTATCCATTAAACAATAACTCCTCATTCCCTCCTCCCTAGGCCTCTCTGTCTTTTCTGTCTCTGAGTTTGAGTACTCTACTTTATATAAATGGAATTGTACAATAGTTATCTTTCTGTGTCTCATTATTTCACTTAGCGTGTCTCGAGGGTTCATCCACATTAGAGCATGTGTCAGAATTTTCTTCCTTTCTAAGACCGAATAATACTTCAGTGTGTGTCTGTATCACATTTTGCTTATCCATCCATTCAGTAATGGACGTTTGGGCTATTGTGGATAATGTGGCTGTGAACATTGGTGTATGAATATCTGAGTCCCTGCTTTCCGTTCTTTTCTGTAGATACCTAAAAGTGAAGTGACTGATCGAATGTAAATCTATGTTTAATTTTTTGAGGAACTGCCTTGCTATTTCCATAACAGGTGTGCTATTTTACATTCCTGCTAGCAGTGTACAAGGGTTCCAATTTCTCCACAGCCTGGAAATCCTCGTTATTGTTTTTTTTTTTTTTTTAATAGTAGGCACCCCAGTGAGCGTGAAGCTTCATCTCATTGTAATTTGCATTTCCCCGATGACTGCTGATGTCGAGCATCTTTGCACGTGCTTATTGGCCGTCTGTGTGTCTTCTCTGGAGAAATGTCTATTGAAGTCCTTTGCCCAATTTTGAATCAGGTTGTTTGGTTTGTTGTAGAAGTTCTTTATATATTGTAGATATTAATCCCTTACCAGATAGATGATTCACAGTATTTTCTCCCGTTCTGTGAGTTGTCTCTCTTACCTCTGTTGATAGTGTCACTGGATGCACAGAAGTTTTTAACTTTGAATAAGTCCAATTTATTCTTTTGTTGCCTGTGCTTTTGGTGTCCTGTCCAAGAAATTGTTATCAAATCACTGTTCACTTTTCTTAAAAAGATGTTATTTATGTGATTATTTGACAATGTCTGTCCCTGTTGATTGCACTTCTTGAGAGCAGCCCTTTTAAACATGCAAATTTGATGTCCCCATTTTCGGTGGCTTCCCTTTGTGTGGGCCGAAGCCCTTTGCTCTGCTTCACTGCCTTGTCTCATGCCTCTCTTCTGCTGCTTTGAGCTCTGGCCACACTGGCCCTTTATCCCTCAAGTACACTTGCCTCAGGGCCTTAGCACATGCTGTCCCTCTTCCCGGAGTGCTTTAGGTCCAAGGTTCACCTCCTTGTCTTCTACCAGCAGAAGTTACAATACTTGAACCCA